GTTGGTTCCACATCTTAGCGATCATGAATAATGCTGCAATAAACACTGATGTTCAAGTACTTTTCCGACCGAGCATTCTCCTGTCCTTTGGGTAGAATCCAGAATGGGATTGCTGGATCAAATGATAGTCTATTTGTAGGTCTTTGAGGAACCTCCATATTGTTTTCCACAGTGACTGAACCAGTTTACATTCCCACCAACAGTGTAGGAGAGTTCTCCTTTCACCACAGCCCTGCCAACACTTACCACTTTTTATATTTTTAATCTTCACCATTCTGACAGGGGTTAGGTGGTATCTCATTGTGGTTTTAATATGTATCTCCCTTATTATAAGGGATGTTGAGCATTTCCTCATATGCTTTTTTTGCTGTTCATATGTCTTCCTTAGATTTTTGTTCAGCTCATTTTCCCATCTTTTAAATGGGTTAATTTTTTTTTTTTTCTGAGTAAGCTGCTTGAGTTCCCTGTGTCTTCTGGTTATCAGTCCCTTGTCTGAGGTACTGATATATTATTTTTAATTCACAGTTGAGGAGCCATTATGGGACTTTAATGGTCCAATCTTATGAGGCCCTAGTTCTTCTAAGAGAACTCGTCTTACAGATGAGGGATCAACAAGTGAGAAAGGTTTAGTGACATCTGTGGCTTTTGTCTGACTGGCAACAGTCTTCCTTGTGGTTACAAGTTTGCTTTGGAGACCTCATCACCTTCATTGGATACAATCTTTGTGGGACTATCCATCAAAATGTTTCACAGTTCCTGGTCAAAAAGTGAGCACGTGGGCCAGCCAGGTGGTATGGTGGTTAAGGTGTTTGGATCTCACATGGCCAACTGCATGGTACAGTTTCTAGACCCAGTGGCCTGAAAAGCACACCAGGTGTGGGTGTGTGTGTCCAAAATCCCAAGAGGAGAATGGATGAGAAAGAACTGCAGCATGGCCATCCCCACTTGGGGGGTGTTTGTTCTCTTAAAAAACCCTCTGTCTCTCTCTCTATATATATATATCTCTGGCAAGCACATGCACCCTAATTAATTAAAGTAATTTTTTTAAAAAAGTGAACACATGACTTTAGACCTTTTGAGCCCAGTCCTTCAGGGTCTAGTTCTTCAGATTTTCCATCCAATGTTTTTAAACCTATTTACTTATTTATTATCATTTTCTTTTAAAATTTGCTATAGGGCATGTACACTCAACAGAGAAAGAGAGAAAGTGAGAAAGCAAGCCACCAGGTCTGGGACTCGAACCACATTCGGCCATGTGCTCTAACCACCATGCCACCTGCTGGCCCCTCTCTTTTTTTCATCCAATTTTTCATGAAGCTGTGATAGCAGGCACTGTGAGAGTCCACCCACAACTCCTGACTACTTACCAACACTATGCAAATCCATAGCTTCCAACTGCTGCAGGCCTTTGCCTAGAGGCTTTTTGTGGAAGCCCAGAGCAGTGAGAGGGGTAGCCCAATAGTACCAGGAAATTGGTTTATTCTAGTAGCCCTCAATTAGTGACTGAGAGAAGTTGGTGGAAATACATATACTCATGCAGCTTTCAGTGGGGATAACTCAGATGTGTTTCACACAGTGTTCCTGGTGGGACTGAGGTCCAGTTTCCCCCAGCAGTAACATCAGTAATGTACACTTTATTAGTTTTCTTCCCTCCCCTGCCTTGCTTACTCTTACTTTCCTACTAATATTTCCTAGAATTACTTCCCCAAAGACTACCTAGAATCTAATATCCTGTTCTCAGTGTGTGCTCCCGGGTGAGTCCAAGCCAAGACAACTTCATATCCTGCTGGAAAATTCTTATTTTGTTTAAGTTTGTAAAAGTCAGTTTTTGCTGCCTATAAACTAAGGACCCTGTCAGAATCAACAGTGGTCTAGAATTGTGTCACATGGCACCTTGTTATTACAGCCTCGGACCTTTCTAAAGACTATCAGAGTTCTAAAAAGGAAGGAAGAGAGCCTCATGAGCCTCTGTTTTAAGCACGAAAGTCTGTAGATGGTTCTGTCTGATGGAGCGAGGGTTAAGTGGCCCACAATGACATTAAAGAGACTGATGAAGGTCCACTCAGAGGAACTTGGATGTCATATCAAGGAGTTTGGTTTTCATCCTCAAGTCAATAGTGATTGAATAATTTAAATTAAATTGACTAATAATTGGATAACATTACGCGGAGGGATGATGTCATTTTTGCATTTCAGAAAGATTGCTCTGAAAGCAGAAGGGAGGATAAATTGGAAGTAAGATTGGAGACAGAGGAACAATGTGAGTAATGAAGTTGAGCAGTCATGGAGGCTGAATTAGGGTAAACCACAGAGGAGGCGATGGACATAAGAAACAGTGAGGAGGTGAAATCAGTAAGGCCTGATTCCTGAATGCAGAATGGAGCGGTGAGGGAGTTCAGTATGGTACTCTGCCTAGGGCACTGGGATGATGGTGGTGCTATTCACCTGATGAGGGAACTGGGAGGTAGGTCAGTGGACAGGTCATGATAGGTTGACTTTCAGACATGTCGAGCAAGGGGTCCATGGGACCCCAGGCTGGGAGGAATACGTCCATCACTAATTTTATCACTGTTCTAAACAAAGCATTTTATAAATACTTGCTCAAGTGTCCATTCCACCCTGCCACCACTAGTGAACTATAAGCTCCTTGAGCACAGGGCTCTGAGTCTCACTCATCTCTGGAGTCCCATCTCTGGCACAGGGCCTGGCACCCCACAAGAGGTGCTCAATAAGGGTTCATTGAATAGCAGGATGACTGTGGTTATTCCCTTCCTTCAGTCCTCCTAGGAATCAGAGCCCAAACAAGTAGATGAAATCTCCCTTTAAAAGAGTAGGAAAGGTATCTTTTCTTCCCAAAAGGTATCTTTTGCTCCTGTGTGGGGCCCTGGAACTCTGGATCAGGTAGAATGGGCTCCAGATCTCAAACATGCTGTCAAATGACTTAGGAGCCCGAAAGGAGCCTGGGTCCAGACCAGGCTCTTCTGGAGCAGATGCCCACACCTGGGCTGTTCACAGCAGGTAGATGGGCAGCTGGGGGCACTTCAGGCTGGGAAGGGTGGAGCAGGATATGAACTAGGTGCTGGGGCAAGCTGGCCATGTTGGCCATGCCATCTGGCAGGCCCGAATCTGTTTGACTCAGCTTATCCACCTTAAGCTAACCTAGGCACTATTCCCTCCACCCTCACAAGCAGGACTTAATGACTCAGACTTATTGGACCTCGCATTGTCATCATCAAGGAGAGGCTGAATTCCTGAAGGAGCTGGGCCCCAGTCCAAGTCGGAGCAGATGACGCAAAAGCTGCTGGGTGAGGCTGAAGAGTATTAGCTCAGACAAGGCATGGGTCCCAGGTCTCTTCACTCTGACCTGTGGCATGGGATGAAAGAATCACTGAGCTTCTCTGTCCAAGCCCAGTGTGAGGGCATCTTTGTTCTTTGTCCTAATTCTTTTTTTCCATGTGCTATTTAATTTTATTTTAATTTTTATTTAACTTTATCCAATTGCCAGAGGGCAAGTGAACTCAGTAAAGAGACAGAAGGAGAGGAAGAAAGCACCCTCCCTAACTTGTCAAAGTCACTCTGTAATCTCCTCTTCTGTGTTTCTTCATCTTGTCAGGATTTGGGGCATATAGGGCTGGCATGTTTTTCAAGTCTCCAGGGCTAAGATTCAAACTGTGGTTGACCATGTGGGATGTCATTCCCTTAACTACTAAGCTATGTGGTAAGACCTAACTTTTTGAAATTTTATTTATTATTATTATTATTTTAATTTAACCAGAGAGAGACAGACAGGAAAAGTGAGAAAGCAAGCTGCCAGGTCTGGGACTCAAACCACAGTTGGCCATGTGGGAGTCCACACCATTTGCCAGCCTCAAACTTTTTTTTTAAGTGGCACGAGGACCTTGTTGCCACATGCCTCATGCTAGTTTGGATCATGGGTATGTGTGCATGTATGTGTACAGGAAGACCCTAGGACAAGGACCTGGTACCTTCTCATGTGGATCCAGTTGTGTTACCACTACCTCACCATCTGGCCCTGTCCTAATTATATTGATCCCAGAACCTTAGTATTTATTTATTTTTCAGAGATTTTTGTTACAGGGCATGTGCACTTGCCAGGGAGACAGAGACAGAAAGACAGAAAGCCAAGAACTGTGCCCCAGGGGACTATGGCCATACCACAATCCTTTTTCCTCCATCCTCATGGGATTTGGGGCACACATACATACACACATGCCTGGTGCGAGTTTAAGCCCCTGGGTCCAGGATTCAAACCGTGGTTGAGTATGTGGGAGTCCAATGACATAACCATTACGCCATCTACTGGTCCCTGTGCTTTTTTTTTTTTTTTTTGAGAGGTTTTTCTGTAGGGTGTATGTGCTTGCCAGAAAGTCAGAGAGACAGAGACAGAAAGCGAGGAATCACCCCCTGGGGGCATGGCCATGCCGTAATCCTTTCTCCCCCATTCTCCTCTCAGGATCTTGGGGGGCACACACACGCACCCAGCATGGGTTTAAGCCACTGGGTCCGGTACTCAAATCGTGGTCAACTACATGGGAGTCCAGTAATGTAGCCATTATGCCATCTGCTGATCTCAGGATTTTATTTTTATAAAAAAATTTTTAAAGATTTTTGCCAAAGATTGCATGTGCTCACCAGAGAGACAAAGAGGTAAAGTGAGAAATCATCCTCCAGGTGGTATGGCCACGCTGCAATCTTTTCTCCTCCATTCTCTTCTTGGGATTTTGGATACATATGCACATGCACCAGGCATGGTTTTCAAACTATAGCGTCCAGGGCTCAAACTACACAGTCAGTCATGTGGGATCCAGCTGCCTTAACCTCCATTCCACCTGCTGCTGGCCCATAACATTTTTTTTGTTATTGTTTTAATTTACCAGATGGTATGTGTACTTGTCAGAGAAAGAAAGAGAGATAAAATACCCTCTCAGTGGGGCATGGTCACACCATTATCCCTTTTCCTCTCCTCCATTTCTCTATTCTGGCCTAATTTTGGGTACATGCACACATATGTCTGTTTGGTTTTTTCCCCAAGCCATGGGCTCTGGGACTTGAACTACATGGTTGGCCATTTGGGATCTGGCTCTCTCAACTGTTAGGTAATGGGCTGGCTCAATCACTATTTTTTTAAATGAATTAACAAATCCAGATTGCCTCATTCCTTCCAGAACTTTCCCTCTGTACCTCTGTGTCTCAGAGAAGTGGGAGGAGGGCAGGGAGAGGGAGCAAAAGAGGAACTGGCTGAGCTTGGAGGGCAGCAGCCTTGTCCCTCTGCCAGAAACATAACAGGCATTCTGACCCAGGCCATGACACTGGCGGGCTAGTGTGTGTCAGAGGGTCCTCTTGGCCTCTCCCAGCATGCCAGCACTATAGAGAGATCAGTGGAGAAATTCATTGCCTACCCTTCAGGGCCTTTTCCCCAAAGCTCGCACCATCTCTGTCCTTGGGCCCACTTTACTCTGCCCCTTCTTGGATCTGTTACTCAACATGTATAGAGCACCTACTATGTGCCAGGCTTGGGAGCAGGCACCTGGGAACTAAAGGTAAATGAAGCATTATCTTGATTCTCAGAGAGCTTACATCTTAGTTAGCAAGGTGAAGAACCGAAGATCACCAGGGTGCCACAGGAAGACTAATAACAGAGGAAGTAGGAGCCGGCAGGTAGTGTAGTGGTTAAAGTACTGGACTCCCCCACATGGCTGACCAAAGTTCAAGTCCTGGACCTGGCAGCTTCTTTTTTTTTTTTTTTTTTTGATAATGAAAAACATTTTTAAAATAATGTGAAGTATACACAAAGAAGGTGTTTAATAAAGGGTTATCAAAATAATAAGAGAAAAATAATTAAATATACTAAAAAAGGTGATTGCATACATTTTAAGCAACTATTTATGAATTTGAACAAGTCAATGATGAAAAAGGCACCAAAAATACGGGAGGCTTCACGAATTTGTGTGTCATCCTTGCACAGGGGCCATGCTGATCTCTGTATGGTTCCAATTTTAGTATATATGGTGCTGAAATGAGCACCTGGCAGCTTACTTTCTCACTTTCCATTTCTCTCTCCCTCTGTCTCTCTGGTTAAATTAAAAAATAACAATAATAGTAACAAAATTAAATAATTTAAAAAAATAATAGAGGAGGCAGAAGCAGTGGGAATGGGGCATTTAGGGTGGGTGGTAGTGACCATGCCCATGTTGGCAAAGGGTGGTTAGGGAAGCTTTCAGCAAAGGGGATGGTTGAACTGATTCTTCTATGATGGGAGAAGGGGCATAGAGAAGAGAGACCTGACATTGTTAGCAGAGACAATGAATTGTGCCAGTGTCCACTAGAACTGAGGAAGTGCAAATCCAGAGGGGGCAGGACACTAGCAAAGCTGGAAAGGTAGGCTGGAGTTAGATGTTGAAGGGCCTTGAATGCCAGGCTAAGGAGCTTGGGTTTCATCCTGTGAAAGTGGACATGGGGCCAGCATGGTGGTTAAAGCAGCTGGATCCCACATGGTTGACTGCACGGACTGAGTTCCAGACTTGGTGGCTTGAAAGACACACCAGGCACATGTGTGTGTGTGCCCAAAATCCCAAGAGGAGAATGGAGAAGAGGAGATTGGAGTGTGGCCATCTCTCCCAGCTATCTCTCCTGGGGTGTGCTTTCTCATTTTCCCTCTGTCTCTCCCTCTCTCTTTCTCTGGCGAGCACACACCTTGTAGCAAATTGAAACAAATAAAAACAGTGGGCATGATTACATGTTTTGGGAGGGGTGTTTTTGTCAGGTTTGCATTAAGGGTGTTTTTGTCTGGTCACTGTGTGCAGAGTGTTTTGGAGTGGCAGGTGGAGAGCCAGGGATATGAGTTAGGAGACTATCAAAGTGGCTAGGACTAGGGCATGGCGGTGAGTGTGGAGGGACAGGGTTATTTAGGCAGCAGACTTATATACTCTGTTGAAGAAGTTTTTGTTATGGTGGCAGGGAGCAGAGATCAAGGCTGATTTGATCCCCACTGACCATTCCAGGCTCATCTCACATCCCTTCCTGGGTCACCGACCTCACCTCCTTTCTTCGTACATGACAAGCATCTTCCTGCCTCAGGGCTCTCACACATTTTGTTTCCTCTGCCTGCAACACTGTGCCACTTGGTCACAGCCTGCCCCATCCTTGGGCTTCTATGAACTCACACCCTTGGGCTTTTAGGAACTCACAGGTGGGTAGGTCAACCCTGGGTCCTCTCACAGCACTAAGCATGTCTCCTTCATGGGATTTATCCCTAAGTATGTCTCCTTTGTGAGATTTATCTCAGTGGTGGTGTACAGTCCTGCTGCTCGTTTAGCCTGACACCCTGCTTAACCACAGGCTCCCTAGGGGCGGGAACTGTATCTACCTTAGTTCCTGTCATAATCAAGCATGATGCTCAGCCCTCAGCTGCTGTCAGACTTTTTTTTTTTTTTTTAATTTGGAGAGATTTTTTTTTTTTTTTTTTTTTTCTATAGTGTTCTTTCAAGACAGAGAGACAGAAAGTGAGAAATCACCCTCCCAGGGGGGATGGCCACGCCACAATCCCTTCTCCTCCATTCTCTTCTCAGGATCTTGGGCACACATGCACACGTGCCCGGTGTCCAGGACTCAAACCATGATCGACTACGTGGGAGCCCAGCAACGTAGCCATTACGCTGGTCCCACCGTTAGACTGCTGTTGGATAAATGAATAAACTGGGAATGAATGAGTGAAGTTTATCAAGGTGCACTGACACCCATGGCAC